ACCGTTTGTTAGGGGGACAAAGAGGGGCACAGTATCCCACTGTGGGGGGCCCCGGTGACACTCCCACAACAAACATGCATGTGATGACTTTCTACACTGCTTTTTCTCTTGATTGTCCTGGTATGCTCCATATTGAACACCAGGTGATCGTCAACAGGGCAGGTGTACCTCCTGCCCATGCTGGCTGCAATGACCTGCAGGTGAGGGGACAGACTCCTTATCTGGTCCAGGACTGAGGTCAGGAACTCATGAGCGTCCTGAACACACAGAAACACACAGAAACACACAGGGGTTTATACACAGAATAAACAGGAAGATGCAAATTTATGAAAAACCAGCTTTTTGCAGGTTTACGAGTTCACCAAACTCAGGAGCCTGGACTGAAACGCAAAGCAACGCAGCAGGCGGCCTTTCCTTTCGGAGTCTGTGGAAGTGTGGCCATCTCTGATCACCATCAATCTTCTACAGAGGGTGAAAGAATTAGATCTGTTATTACATTTTGTTCCTCAGATCTGTGAAGAAACTTGAGAGTGACTGAGTGTGTGTGTGTGTTGGGGGGGGGGTTACTGTACCTGATCAGCTGGGCTTTATGTACTGTTTTAGCCCACGTTTAGCTTTGGTGGCCACCATACACTCATCCACAGCCAGGTTCTGATGAGGGTGGTAGACAGCTTTGCAGGCTGTCATAATCCTCTGTGCCTTTCTTCCTGTCATTCACTGCGTCCTCCTCAGGGTCACTCATATGCATGTTCCAAGATATAAAGAGGAACCTGTCTCTGGACATGACCTTGCGAGGAAAGGGGACGTGGAAGGTGCTTTGCACACGCCACATGTCACTGACTTTTGGCAGATTGAGGACACCCATGTAAAACACCAGCCCCATGTATTAGCACAGTTCTTCAGATGTAACTGGAGTCCACATACATTTCGTGCCAGCAGCAATATTTTTCTCAGCATTTTTGTTGTGTTGTCACACAAAGTTTGGATAGTTTTGCTGTGAAAAAAAAAGCTTGAAGAGCTCCATGGGGACAGAGGTGGCTGCCCACCGGGATTTCTTTTGGGGAAGAACAGTTATACATACTTACCTATGAGAGCCGAGGTGCTGCCCACTCTCAGCTGCCACAACATCCTCTGCAGGTGGTTGTTGTTTCTGGTCAGATTAAAGACAAATGAGTTGAATATGGTAAGAAAAATAATGTGTCTTCATAGCTGATATAATCTGAGTTCACAGAAAGTATCTACGAGACATCTGACTGGATGAAAGTCTGAACAACAGGTCACATCAATAGTACAGAATCTTTTGTCAAAAACAATGTAGTCCAAACATTTTGGTCACTGTTATGACTTCTTTAACGTTAACCTATAGTCTCCTGTACTGTTGGGTGGTCGATCTGAGCTTTATATACTAAAGGGGTATTAGTAATACCACTTTTAACCCTTGTCATAAACTACAGTCTGTACTGTTTTGCATATTATATTATTTCATATGTGTATGAAGAATATATACTGTATACTTACATATAACTACTGTATGTACTAATAAATATGTGTACATGGTATATACTATACACCACCAACTAGCTAGCTAGCTAAAAACATTGTTTACATCCTTTACTTGAGTAAAAATGACTTCATTTATTCATCAAATCAAATATAATCAAATGCCCTTGACATCTTACCTAGAGCCAGACCTACCCAGTTTCATGTCTTTGTGTCCAGCACAAGATGTCTAGCTTGGCTTAAAGTTGATGCGTTAGAAGCAGGAAAAATGGGCAGCGTGAGGATTTGAGCGACTTTGACAAGGGCCAAATTGTGATGGCCGGACGACTGGGTCAGAGCATCTCCAAAACTACAGCTCTTGTGAGGTGTTCCCGGTCTGCAGTGGTCAGTACCTATCAAAAGGGGTCCAAGGAAGGAAAAGCGCTGAACCGGAGACAGGATCATGGGCCGCCAAGGCTCATTCATTCACGTGGGGAGCGAAGGCTGGCCCATGTTGTTGCTGCGGTGCTGTTGTCGCTGCTCGCTGTCCGGTACATTGCTGCTGTCGCGTGTCACCGTTCTTTTTCGTGATGACGTCACGTCGATCATTACTGTTAATGTGTTGTTGCTGCTGTTGTTGCTGACATCTGTTTGTCTTCTTGTCTCTCTCTCTCTCTCTCTTTCTCCCCAACTGGTCAAGGCAGTATGACCACCCACCTAGAGCCGAAGGGTCTGTCCGAGGTTTCTGGCCTGTTAAAAGGCAGTTTTTCCTTGCCCCCGTCGCAAGTGCCTTGTCATGGTGGTTATGTTTGGGTCATCTGTAAATGTTAAAAGGAGTTCGGTCTAGACCTGCTCTATTTGAAAAAGTGTCTGAGATAACTCTGTTAATGAATTGGCGGCTATACAAATAA